TCCCAGACCCTCTGGTCCCTCCCAGACCCTCTGGTCCCTCCCAGACCCTCTGGTCCCCCCCAGACCCTCCGGTCCCCGCAGTGGTGCCCGAGCTCCGGGACTGCCCCCCCATCCTGGGGTGTGGGAGGGCTCGGGGCAGGGGCACCGCAGTGTCACTCACAGCACTCCTCGGGATTCTCGTCCGAGTTGTCCCCACAATCGTCCTCCCCATCGCACTTCCAGGCCAGGGGCTTGCACAGGGTGTTGTTGCACTGGAACTCGTCCAGGGGACACGTGCGAACTGCGACAGCGCAAGAGGGGACACGTCAGCTCAGCTCGTGCTGCTCTGCTGCCAAAACCCCGGCCTGGGGCTGCCATTCCAATTTCCAGCATGGACAGGGGGTCCCCAGGGCTGGGGGGTTTCCAGGGCTCGGACACACATCCTGTGTGTGCTCCAGCATGAGGAGAGAGGGGTGGACACACACGCAGGGGAGTGCTCCCACCCGCAGCAGGGACACAGGTGACACGAGGGTATTGACAGGGGGACACAACCAGCCCTGGGGGACAGACAGAGCTGTGCCATCACCCCCGGGGACACAGGTGACACGAGGGCAGGGACAGGGGGACACAACCAGCCCTGGGGGACAGACAGAGCTGTGCCATTACCCCCGGGGTCACAGGTGACACGAGGGCACGGAGGGGGTGACACAACCAGCCCCAGGGGACACACAGAGCTGTGCCATTACCCCCGGGGACACAGGTGACACGAGGGGATGGAGGGGGTGACACAACCAGCCCCGGGGGACAGACAGAGCTGTGCCATTACCCCCGGTGCCGCAGTTCTCCTCGTCGCTGCCGTCCATGCAGTCGGCGTCGGCGTCGCAGCGCCAGCGCATGGGGATGCAGTGCCCGTTCTTGCACTTGAACTGGTCCAGCTCGCAGCGGGGGGTGCAGTCTTTCTGCAGGGGACAGGAGAGGGACACGGTCAGCAGAGACAGGGTGGCCACAGCAGGTCCCTGTCCTGTCTCCACAGGCAGGCTCTAAGCCTCAGGACAGCGGCAGGGGCAGAGGAGGGGGCTGTGTCCCTCGCCGGTGCCGTACCTCGTCGGAGCCGTCGGCGCAGTCGTGGTCCCCGTCACATTTCCACCTGCCCGCGATGCAGCGGCCGTTGGCACACGAGAACTCGCTCTCGGAGCAGGGCCGGGGTGCTGGGGACAGAGAACACCCGGTGTGCCCTGAGCGTGGGGACAGAGGGTGGGGACAGGGGGTGGCCCTGGCCGGCAGCCGGGGGAGCACAGGTGGGCACACGGCCGGTGGCACTGGGGACAGGGGGTGCAGGCAGAGCGCTGGGAGCTGCTGGAGGGGCATAGCTGGTACCACCTCCCGGACTCATCCCACCCCACTCCAGGGCTCCCAGCTCCCTGTGGGGGTTTTGGGGGGCACTGGCTGTCCCCCAGGGCGCTCGCTCTCCACAGGGCAGCACCAGCCCCACTGCTGCCCACCCCGGCTGCCCCCCAGGCAGGAGGAACTGCAGCGGTGCCTGGGCAGAGCCTCATCCCCGTCCCCCTCTCACAGGGAGTGGGGACAGAACCCGCTCACAGCTCACTGGCACAGCCAGTGCCAAATCCAGGAGGATGGCACGTGGCACAGCCGCCCACCTGGGATGGCTCTTGGGACCCTTCCCCTCCCCACGGCCCCGGGGTTTTGGGGCACAGGGACCCTCTGGTCACGGCACAGGACTGTGGAGGAACAGGGGAACGGGGGGGTCCAGGTGGAGCAGGGAGAGCCAAGGTGGGGATGGGTTTTGGAGATAAGTCCAAGCCATGCAGGGGTCCTGCAGAGCAGCAGGGTCAGACCCTCCCCGGCTGTGGCTCCGTGGAGGGAGATGCTGGTGCTGATGCTCAGAAAATCCACCTGGATTGCCCAGTCCCGACCCCTCTGCCCTCACCTAGAAATTATTGTCTTCATTGATTTTAGAGGGACTGTACATGGAATTAAAAGATTTTGGCAGGAACCTACCTCTGAGCGCCCCATAACGACAGTGTGAAAATGGAGAAAAACATAAGATGAAGTGAAATGGCACAAACTCAAAAACACGACGGGAAATCAACAGAAAAGAAAACAAAAGCTGCACCCTGAAGAGCTGTAGGATGACAGAGGGACCCAGTGGGCACTGTGGGGTAGGAGAGGGTCTGGCAGCAGACCCTGGTGCCATTCCATGGGCAGTCTGGAACCTTCTGGGTGCTGTGGGGTGGGAGAGGGTCTGGCAGCAGACCCTGGTGCCATCCCACAGGCAAGCTGAACCCCTCAGGAGGGACAGAGCTGAAGTGGAGCCCTGGGAATGGTCTTGTGCATGAGGACACTCGTGTTCCTTGGCTGCTCAGAGGGGAAGATGCTGGCACAAGAGCAGGAGCTCACAAAAAGGGCAGCACTGAACTGTGCCCCAGCTCTGGGATCAGCCTCCTCCCTATGCACTGGCCCAGGCCTGAGGTTGTGACCTGGGTCCCTCCTGACAGCTCTGTGTGTCCCCACTGCCATCCCAGGTGCCACTGGCAGGCAGGGGGGTGACACAGGGGGTGATGCTTGGTGGCAGAGCAGGATGAGGTTCCCTCGGGTGACTCTGGCCACGCTGGGCCCCCATGCTGCTGCGAGGAGTGTGCTGGGGTCACCTCTTCCCTGTCCCCCGTCACCCTTGGGGTGTCCCCCTGGCACAGCCTCCCCTCTGCAGGGCCAGGCTCTGTGTCCTCTGTCCTGGCCAGGGGACACCGTGGCTCTCCCGGCCACCAGCCTGACACTCCCTGGCAGCAGAAGAGGGGCTGGGGGGACCCAAACCTGTCCCCCTCTCCACTGCTCCACCCTGGGGACAGCAAAGGCTCGGGGGTGGCACGTACTGCAGCTCTCCTCGTCAGAGTTGTCCCCGCAGTCGTTGTCGTAGTCGCACTGCCAGCGGCCCGGCACACAGCGGTTGTTCTTGCAGCGGAACTGGTACGGCTCACACGTGCGCTCGTCTGGGAGGGACAGCAGGGGACAGGACAGGGCTCAGCACTGCCCCAAACGGGGACATGAATGGGACAGGACAGGGCTCAGCACTGCCCCAAATCAGGGGAGGGATGGGACAGGACAGGGCTCAGCACTGCCCCAAACGGGGACATGGATGGGACAGGACAAGGGTTGGCACTGCCCCAAATCAGGGGAGGGACAGGGACAGGACAGGGCTCAGCACTGCCCCAAATCAGGGGAGGGATGGGACAGGACAAGGGTTGGCACTGCCTCAAACGGGGACATGGATGGGACAGGACAGGGACAGGGCTCAGCACTGCCCCAAATCAGGGGAGGGACAGGGACAGGTGTCAGCACTGCCTCACACAAGGGGACAGGATGGGGACAGGGACAAGGACAGGGGTCAGCACTGCCCCAAACGAGGGGAAATATGGGACAGGGACAGGTGTGAGCACTCTGCTGCATGAGGGGAGGGACAGGACAGGGACAGGAACAGTGACAGGGGCCAGTGCTGCCCTGCACAATGGTAAATATGGGATAGGGATGGGGTCAGCTCCAAATGAGGGCAGGGATGGGACAAGGACAGAGGTGAGCACTGCCCTGTATGAGAGGATGAGACAGGGACAGGTGTCAGCACTGCCCTGAGCTAGGGGAGGGACAACACAGGGACAGGGACAGGTGTCAGCACTGCTCCACACGATGGAAGGGAGGGGACCAGGACAGGGGTTAGCACTGCCCTGCACCTCTGAGCCAGCCCTGCCCACACCACTCAGAAAAGGAGCAGCTGCTCCCCTGGGGCACCCCAGAGGAGACAGCCAGTGCCAGGCCAGCGTGTCCCTCGGGGAACAGGGACACAAGATGACACCAGCTTGTCCCCACAGCCCCTGCTCACCGCATTCCTCCTTGGGCTCATCGGATCCATCCCCACAGTCGTCCTCCCCGTCACACTTCCAGCGTGCCGGGATGCACCGGCCCGAGTCCTTGCACCGGAACTCGTCCACACCACAGGTCATTTGGGCTGGAGGGAACAAAGTGACACAGGCACAGGGCAGGGATCAGCAGTGGTCAGGCACGTGGTGTTCTCTGCAGGGCTGATGAACAGCCTGGAGCTGGGTGAGATCCCCCTCCCTTCCAAGCAGCTCTCCAGGGAGAAGTCAGGGGGAGGAGGATCCCAGCAGGACAGATCCAGGCAGAGCCACCAACACCATCACCCACTGCCCACAGGGACTGAGCAGGGACCGAGGTGGAACTGAGCAGGAACTGAGCAGGAACTGAGGGACTGAGCAGGAACTGAGCAGGAACTGAGCAGGAACTGAGCAGGAACTGAGGGACTGAGCAGGGACTGAGGAACTGAGAAGGGACTGAGCAGGAACTGAGGAGGGACCAAGGTAGAACTGAGCAAGAACTGAGCAAGAACTGAGCAAGAACTGAGGAGGGGCCGAGGTAGAACAGAGCAGGAACTGAGGGACTGAGCAGGGACTGAGCAGGAACTGAGCAGGAACTGAGCAGGAACTGAGGGACTGAGCAGGGACTGAGCAGGAACTGAGCAGGAACTGAGCAGGAACTGAGCAGGAACTGAGCAGGAACTGAGGGACTGAGCAGGAACTGAGCAGGAACTGAGGGACTGAGCAGGAACTGAGCAGGAACTGAGGGACTGAGCAGGGACTGAGCAGGAACTGAGGGACTGAGCAGGGAGTGAGCAGGAACTGAGGGACTGAGCAGGGACTGAGGAACTGAGAAGGGACTGAGCAGGAACTGAGGAGGGACCAAGGTAGAACTGAGCAAGAACTGAGCAAGAACTGAGCAAGAACTGAGGAGGGGCCGAGGTAGAACAGAGCAGGAACTGAGGGACTGAGCAGGGACTGAGCAGGGACTGAGCAGGGACTGAGCAGTAACTGAGGGACTGAGCAGGGACTGAGCAGGGACTGAGCAGGGACTGAGCAGTAACTGAGGGACTGAGCAGGGACTGAGCAGGGACTGAGCAGGGACTGAGGAACTGAGAAGGGACTGAGCAGGAACTGAGAAGGAACTGAGGAGGGACCAAGGTAGAACTGAGCAGGAACTGAGCAGAGACAAAGCAGGGACCAAGAAGGGACTGAGCAGGGACCTTCCACCCCCCCAGCACACAGAGGTTCCCAGTGTAGCCAGAAGCCCCTCCCCACACAGATCCCTTACTGCAGTTGGCAGGTTCATCGGAGCCGTCCACGCAGTCGTTGTCACGGTCACAGACCCAGACACGGGGGATGCAGCGCTTGGTGATGGCACACTGGAACTGGTTGGGGGCACAGGTCACCTCCGCTGCAGGGGGGAAAAGGGGTGTCAGGAAAGGCAGCAGGGCAGGCAGGGGCCAGCCACCCCTTTCCCCAAAAACCAGCCATGGGGTTGAGAGGTGTGTGGGTGCTCCAGGGATCACAAGGGGTGGTGTGCTCGGTGGAGGAGACAGAGCACAGCCATAAAATGGTCACAGAAGACTCCAAGCTATGGGGGGACAGGACAGAGGCCACCAGACCTCTCAGCTGGGCAACAGGCTCAGCCCAAATCCACCTCAAGGGATTTAAGGATTTCATTTCCTCTAGGAAACAGCAGCGTCTGTAGGGGCGATGGGGACAAAGGTTCTGCGAACACCAGGGACACGGAGAAAGCCCTGGGACAACCCAGGGAGCCAAACGCCCCAAGACACGGACCTGAGCCCCTCAGCCTGGCCCACACTTGCTCCCACCTGACACCCTGAGCCCCCCACTCACGACAGTCCTTCTCGTCCTCGCCGTCCCCGCAGTTGTCCTGCCCGTTGCAGCGGAAGATGCCGGGGATGCAGCGGTTGGTGTTGGTGCACTTGAACTGGCTGGGCAGGCAGACGTGGATGTCTGGGGAAGAGGTGACACGGTCAGGGGGTGCCAGGCTGCAGCTCCACGCTGTGGGGGCCTGGGGGTCACGAGGGGACACAGGGAACCTACCACAGTTGGCCTCGTCGGAGTTGTCCTGGCAGTCGTTGTCGCCGTCGCAGATGAAGGCGGGGTTGGTGCAGATCCCTGTGGAGCACTGGAACTGCCCTGGCCGGCACTTGAACTCAGCTGTGGGGTGACACAGGGACACAGGTTTGCTCTGAGGAACACTTTTAGGGCAAACCTCAACCTCAAACCCCCGCTCCACCCCTCTGGGGTCCTCTGCAGGGACCCAGCAGCCAATTCTGGGCTTGCTCCACGGGACAATCCCAACGTAGGGACAGGCAGATGTGTCCCACTGTTCCCTGAACCCCGTTATTGGACTGACCCTCCCCTCCACGGGGCTGTCCCAACATCCCAGGGGTGCTGTGTCACCCCCTGGCACTCACGGCAATCCTCCGGCTCGTCCGACCGGTCCCCGCAGTCGTCCTCGGTGTCGCATTTCCACCAGAAAGGGATGCACTTGTCGTTCTTGCAGACAAACTGGTGGAGAGAGGAGCTCGTGGGGTGGTCCAGGATGGGGAGGGGGAACCCCAAAAGATTTCATCCCCGGGGGGCGCAGCCAAGGGCACTGAACCTGTGCCATCCCCTCCAGGTATCCCAAATCCTGACCTGGAGCAAAACCTTAACCCCCACCCAGGCCCTGGGGTTTGAGGAGAGGGGCAGAAGAACATTCCAGAGCTGGAGGGTGTCTGGCTCCCCTGGATACCCCCAAACATGAAGTGCCACAGGAGGGAGGTGCTGCCTTCACCCACAGAAGACCTTGCTACATCCCAGCACCCTTGGGGAGACCACGGCCAGAGGGACACAGGCACAGGGAAATTCCAGACAGGCAGGGACAGGCAGGAACAGGCAGGAACAGTCAGGGACAGGCAGGGATAAGCAGGAACAGGTGGGAACAGGCAGGAACAGGTGGGAACAGGCAGGAACAGGCGGGAACAGGTGGGAACAGGTAGGAACAGGTGGGAATAGTCAGGAATAGGCAGGGACAGGCAGGAACAGGGAGGAATAGTCAGGAATAGGCAGGAACAGGCAGGGACAGGTGGGAACAGGGAGGAACAGTCAGGAATAGGGAGGGACAGGCGGGGACAGGTGGGAACAGTCAGGAACAGGCAGGGACAGGCAGGAACAGGTGGGAACAGTCAGGGACAGGCAGGGACAGGTGGGAACAGTCAGGGATAGGCAGGAACAGGCAGGGACAGGCAGGAACAAGCAGGAACAAGCAGGAACAAGCAGGGACAGAGAGAGAGGGGGACAGGCCGGGACAGGCAGGGACAGGCCAGCAGGAGTTTACCTGGCTGGCTGTGCAGTTGGACACGCAGGTTTTGCCATCGCTGCCCAGGTAGAAGTTGGTGGGACAGGCACACTTGTGGCCCCCGCCCGGCGAGAGCAGGCACAGGTTGCTGCAGCCGCCGTTGTTGGTCTTGCAGGGATGGTTGGGAACTGGGGAGAGCAGGGTGACAACAGCCAGTCAGACCAAACTGGGGACCCTCAGGGTGGCATGGGAGCAGCAGCAAGACCCTTGTCACCCTGCTCCTGCTCCCCCTGCCCAACCTGGCTGCCCCCCATGTCCCTTTCCCTGGCAGTTCCCCCAGGCCGTGCTCACCGTCGGGCTGGCGGTAGGGGTGGTAGATGTGGATGTCCATGGGCCGGTGCAAGGTGCTGATCAGCAGCGTCTTGTTGGCTCCCGTCGTCTTATGGGCCCGGTTGATGGACTTGGTCTCCCAGTCCGTCCAGTAGATGAAATCCTCGAAGAGGGTGAGCGCGAAGATGTGCGGGATGTCCTGGCTCAGCACTGCGAGGGGAGTGGGCGCTCAGCGAGGGGCTGCGCCACGTTCCCTTCCCACGAGGAAGCAGCCACTTCTCTGGGCACAGAGGAGCTGGGGACTGTCCCCGGCAGCCCTGGCTGCCACTCCAACCCCTGACCCAGAGCCCGGAGCCCCCCGAGGCACGCCGGGAGCCCGACGCGCTCACCCGTGTGCCGGTTGGAGCCGTCCAGGCTGGCGAACTCGATGTAATCCTCGCGGGCGTCGGCCCAGTAGATCCGGCTGTTGATGTAGTCGAGGGTGAGGCCGTTGGGCCACGTGATCTTGGTGTCCACGATGACGCTGCGGTTGGTGCCGTCCATGCCGATCTTCCCGATCAGAGAGTGGTCCCCCCAGTCCGTCCAGTAGAGGTAGCTGGGGATGAAACGAGAGCAGAGAGAAGCTGAGTTGGAAACCACAGGAATTTCTCCCTGTGAGGATGCTGAGGCCCTGGCACAGCGTGCCCAGAGAAGCTGGGGCTGCCGTATCCCTGGAAATGTCCAAGGTTGGACGGGGCTTGGAGCAAGCTGGGGTGGTGGAAGGTGACTGCACAGGGCAGTGGGGTGGAACAAAATGATCTTTAAGGTCCCTTCCATCCCAAACCACCCCGCGACTCTGTGATAAACCGAGGCACATGGGCACAGGATAGGGAAAAGCATCCCGGTGTCCCAGAGGCCGAGAGGGAAAGCTTCATCCCATCTCCCGACCTCCAGGACTACGGCAAGATGACCACAGCCCCCTCCCCAGCACAGAGTGGAGGGTCCCTGTCCCCCAGACTCTCACCCGTTCTGCACGTCCACCACGAGCGCGCGAGGCTCACGCAGGCCCGAGTTGACCAGCACGGTGCGGTAGGCGCCGTTGAGCTTCGACACCTCGATGGTGTCCCGGCCCTTGTCACACCAGTACAGGTTTCCTCCCACCCAGTCCACAGCCAGCCCGTCGGGGTTGCTGAGCCCCGTGCGGTGAAGGACCTGCCGGGAGGAATGAGAGGTGACAGGGCTGAGCAGAGAGAACCAAACCCTGATTTCTCAGGGGTGACAGCATCCCCCTTCCCAGGCCAGATCTTCTTCCTCACTCCACTCTTAGGTTTAGATGAGATATTGGGAGGAAATTCCTCTCTGCAAGGGTGGGCAGGCCCTGGCACAGGGTGCCCAGAGCAGCTGTGGCTGCCCCATCCCTGGAAGTGTCCAAGGCCAGGTTGGATGGGGCTTGGAGCAAGCTGGGATAGTGGAAGGTGTCCTTGCCCGTGGCAGGGGAGTGAAACAGGATGAACATTAAGATCCCTTCTGACCCAAATCATTCCACAGCTCCATGACTCTTCCCCCAACCTTCCTTGCTCCAGGTTTCCAGGCAGCATGGAGCCCACCCCTGCTTGTGGTGGGGCTACAAAGCATCCCACAGCAACTGGGGCTGATTCCCAAAGCCCAGTGATGACCCCAGAGCGGGGCAGCAGGTGGGTGAGGCTCAGCAGCCCAGCCCAGGCGTGCCCCAGGGGCTGCCCCACGTCCTCACCTGGACGTTGCTGCCGTTGATGTGCATGCGGCGGATCATGCTGCCCTGCGTGGTGACATCTGTCCAGTAGATCATCTGCTCCCGGTAGTCAAAATCCAGAGCCACGGCGTTGTTCAGCCCCTGGAGAGGAGGGAGGGAGAAGGGTTGCAGCAGCCTCAGCAGCTGGTGTGGGTTCTGGGAGGTTTTATAGAGCCCACAGCCCCCCTGCCTGCCCCTCGCTCAGTGACCTCCTGACATTTAGATGGATCTACCATTCCCCTGGGAAGCCCAAACTCCTCAGCTGGCAGCTCCCGTGTCCTTCAGGGCCCACTCCATCCCCAAATCCCAGCAAGATGAGGCTGGAGTCCCTCCTGCTCCCAGCTCACCCCGTACCTGCTTCAGCAGAGTGTAGTTGGAGCCGTCCAGGTTGAGCTTCCTCAGATAGTAGCGGTTGGCGAAGATGAGGAAAGGCTCTTCATCTGCACGGGGAAAGAGGGTAAAAAGTGGCAGGGGAGCACTGCTGGGATGTGGGCAGAACCCTGCAGACCTCCCAGCCCCACTCCTGAGGAGGGAGCAGCCACTTCACCCTCCAACCCCAACGCCACGAGCATCCCACGGTCACCAGGAGCATCCTGGGCTCTGCGCCCACAGCTGCCTCTCACCTGTGACAGCCTTGCAGCTGGTGGGGTTGTCAGGTCTGAGCTTGTAGCCCTCAATGCAGAGGCACTTGTAGCTGCCCAGGGTGTTGATGCACTTCTGGCTGCAGGGGTAGGTGGTGGAGCACTCATCGATGTCGATGCACGTCTTCCCGTCGTCCTTCAGCCGGAACCCGGGACGGCATCTGCACTGCAGGAGCAACCCGGAGCTGTCAGACACCTCCAGGGCCCGCACGCCGGGAGGTGGCAGGTGCTGGGAGGTGACAAGTGTCACCGTGGGACACGTGCACTCAGCAAGGACAGCTGAGATGCACAAACAGTGCCTGGAGCGCCAGTGTCACATCCCTGGCCCAGCTGGCACAGGACAGACACAACCCTCACGTCTGCGGAGGAGGAAGGAGAGGGAACAGCAGGAGCTGTGCCAGGGGAGGTTTAGGCTGGATATCAGGAAAAGGTTCTTCCCCCAGAGGGTGGCCAGGCACTGTTGGTTGGCACAGCCCCAAGGCTGCCAGAGCTCCTGGAGCATTTGGACAACGCTCTCAGGCACAGGGTGGGATTGCTGCGGTCTCCTGTGCAGGGACAGGAGCTGGACTTCAACAACCATGGGAAGCCCCTTCCAACTCAGGGCATTCTGTAATTCTACAATCTCTGCAGCCAGCCCCCCAACCTGTGGCCCCCTACCTTGTACCCAATCTTGAGGTCCTCACACTCCTGGGAGCAACCACTCAGTTTCTTGTTGAGGCACTCGTTGATGAAGCAGTTGAGCTCGTCAGAGCCGTCGGCGCAGTCGTTGTTGTTGTCGCAGAGCAGCGCCTCGGAGATGCAATTCCCATTCTTGCAGAGGAAGAAGGAGTCGTTGCATTTGTTTTCTGCAGAGAGGAGGTGGCAGTGGTCAGTGGAGGGTGGCTGGGGCTCCTCTATCCCCCCCAGGACCCCAGCAGGTACCTGGGCTGCTGCAGCGCGGGTTCTTGGGCGCCTCGTCCGAGTGGTCGTGGCAGTCGAACTCCCCATCGCATTCCCACTGCCGGTTGCTGAGGCAGCGGCCGTTCTGACAGCGGAACTCGTGGGGGCCGCAGGTGGGATACTCTGAGGGAGGGTGAGGGGCTCAGCTGGCATCCCACCTTCCTGAGCCTTCCAGAGGCACCATGGAGCCACCCAGAGAGAGAAGGCACCATGGAGCCAAACCCTCCCAAGCTGCCAGGAGTGACGGGGACACCACAGAGCAGCTGGCCTGGGACAGGACTGCTCTGCACACACATGGATCTCTGTGTGGGTTTGGATCTCTGTGGGTTTGGATCTCTGTGGGTTTGGATATCTGTAGGTTTGGATCTCTGTGGGTTTGGATCTCTGTGGGTCTGGATCTCTGTAGGTTTGGGTCTCTGTGGGTTTGGATCTCTCTGGGTTTGGATCTCTCTGTGGGTTTGGATCTCTGTGTAGGTTTGGGTTTCTGTGGGTCTGGATCTCTGTGTAGGTTTGGGTCTCTGTGGGTTTGGATCTCTCTGTGGGTCTGGATCCCTGTGTAGGTTTGGGTTTCTGTGTCAGGACTGGGGGACTGCTCTCCACCAACAATCCCCTTCTGCTGCCTCTCCGGGTTCCTTCTCACACACTCACACCAAACCCCTCCAGGGTGATGAAGACCCTCCCAGGGTACTGTCCCAAAGCCCAGGAGGACCCAGCATGGCTGGATCAGCCCCCCTGGGACCCACAGGCACCCACCACATTCCGGGGACTCGTCAGAGCCGTCACCGCAGTCGTCGTCGTGGTCGCAGACGAAGTGTTTGGGGATGCACTGCCGGTTCCCGCACATGAACTCCCGCTCGTCACAGGTGTTGTTGTACACTGCAACGGGGCACCACCACCGTCAGTCCTGCCAGCCCCCGGCCTCTCCCAGCCCC